CGACGGCACATAATAACAACAACACATTGCTTATGTCAGCCATAAACTCAATTACAGTGAAAAAGTAAGTTTGTTTCCTTTTTAAAATTTAACAAGTTGATACTAAATTTTATGAAGAAAGGGATATTTTTCCAGTGAAAATTTTGCAAAGAAGCATAATAAACAATGGCTAATTCAATAATATGGTAAACAATGTTCATCTTTTTTAATGAACTCATTTCTGACATTGATTCATTGTTGTTTAAATACATAGTGAAACAATGTATATGATTAAATACCAGACAAAACATTTGAGGTTTCATTATATATATGTGCACACATATATATGTACACACACACACACACACACACACACACACACACACACACAGAGAAAGAGTTTCTTCAAGCTGCTAGTAAGGTACATTATAAACTCCTTATTTACAACAAAATTAAAATAGGTTTATTTATGATTACCATTTTATTGAGATTATAATTTTGTAACTAAGTTTAGAGATGTAAAAAAGAAAATCTATTCTTACTGGAGGAAAATGCTCATCTTTCTCTCAAGGAGATTTGGACTACCAAGGAGAGAGGCACAACCTTTTGGTCAGTATTGCAACTCTCTAAGGACTAGGACACCAGACCACTTGCCCTGCCCCTTCCATATATATTAATTGAAGCATTAGATAATCAGTTGAAAGAAGGAGCCTCAAACTGGAAATTAATGGTTATCCATCAACGGTGAATGGATAAACAAAATGTGCTGTATCCAAGAAATCTAATACTGTTCAACAATAAAAAGGAGGGGAGGAAGTGCTGATATATGTTGAAAATAAATGAACATGAAAAGCATACTAAGTGTAAAAAAGACAATACAAAAGACTACTTGTCATGTTTCTAAACTTATGGTATGTTAAGAAAAGGCCCATTTATACATAGAAAGCACATTAGGAGATGCATAAGGCATGGACAAGAGTGGAATTTAACTATCAGGAGAGAAATCTTTGGGATAATGATAATCTTCTAAAACTGAATTGTAGTGATAGTGGCATAAGTGTATACACTTATTAAATTATTGAAACTAAAAAGTAAAATGAGTGAATGATGTGGTACATAAATTATATCACAATAGACATTTAAATTTAATTTTTACAAAAAGAATTCTTTCTAAGCCAGCCCCCTTCCCCACCTAAAAAAAAAAAATTCTAGATGACTTATAGGTAAAAGAATTTTTTTAACATGGAAAAAAGAATGACAAAATTTAAAAATTATATAAATTCAGAAAACTTTTATATCAGCCAAAAACAGACATTAGGCTTACTTTCTTCTATAAAAAAAATTGTCAATAAAAAAAATGAACAAGATTCATGTTTACTGCAGCTTTGTTCACAATAGCAAGGAGTTGGAAACAACCTAAGCGCCCATCAACAAACGAATGGCTAGAGAAGCTGTGGTATATTCGCACAATGGAATACTATGCTGCATTAAAAAACAAGGAACTCATG